ACAATTATTGATCCGAACCCTTTGGACTTTAGCAAGACACTAATGAAATCCATGGTAACCACGTCCCATGGTTGATCAAAAATCAAAAGAGGATCAAGAAGTCTAGCTGGTAACCTATTCTTCACTTTATCTTGTTGGCATACAAGACATGTTCGAACATACATTTCTACTTAATCTCGTATTTGCAGTCAATAACATGCCCGTTTAGTTAAAGCCAATGTTTGGTTTATCCCTGGATGTCCAACCCACTTGGTGTCATGGAATTCTCAAATCATGTCACGCCGCAAATTATTCTACTTAGACATAAATACCCATTGTCTAGTGTTGTACAACAACCCGTTGTCAACCAAAAATTACCTTATCTTGCCCTCTTGGGCGACCTGCATCAATTTTTCGCCATTGGATCATGTTCCAGCCCTCATTTAATTTCCTCCAACAGGGTGACCGTGGCTTGACCGATTGCTGCAAGTTTGGCCTTCCGGCTAAGTGCATCCGCTACTACATTCAACTTTCCAAGTTTATATTCCATCACATAGTCAAACTCCACCAAGAAATCTTGTCATCGAGCTTGCATTGGGCGTAACTTCTTTTGTGATTGGAAGTAACTTGTAGCCACATTGTCAATGTTGATTACAAATCGAGAACCCAAAAGATAATGACGCCATACCCGTAGGCAATGCACAATGGCCACCATTTCTTTTTTCGGCATTATGTAGAGCCTCTTCGTATCATTCAACTTGCGACTCTCAAAGGCAATGGAATGACCTTTTTTCATGAGCACACCCCCAATGGCAAAATCAGATGCATATGTCTAAACTTCAAAGTTTTTTGTTGAAATCTAGCAATGCTAACACCGGCTCCGCCATGACCGCTGACTTTAAATCATCAAAGGCTCTTTGACATTTCACAAACCAATCACGTTCTTGGGACTTTTGAGCAACTCCATCAATGGGGCCGCTCTAAATGAGTGGCCTTAGATAAAACGTCAGTAATATTTCACCAATCCAGGGAAAGACCACAACTACATCACTTTAATGGGCGGTTCCCGCTCATTGATTACTTTTACTTTGGCTCCATCCATGCGCAACTGACCATGTCCAATGATATGCTCCAAGAAATTCACTTCTTCTTTGACAAATGAGCATTTTTCCTTTTTGATGAATAATTCATTTTCCCACAACACTTGGAAGATAATTTTCAAATGGTCAACATGTTCATTTTATGTGTTTCAATAGATGACAATGTCGTCAAGATAGACCACCATAAACTTATCCAAGTATAGATAAAATATCTTGTTAATCAAGACGCAAAATAGAGCTAGAGCATTTGTTAAACCAAACGGCATGAAAAGCCAGTCATAGGAACCATACCGACTAATGCATATAGTTTTAGGCTCATTTCCTTCCGCAATTCGAACTTGATAATGTCCATTTTGCAAATCAACCTTTGTATAGAATTTTACACTACCAAATCGATCAAATAAATCTGCAATCAATGGAATGGGATACTTTTTTTTCATCATCACCTTGTTTCGTGCTCGGTAATCCACATACATTCGCAATGTCCCATCCGGTTTCTTTCGGAACAACACAGGGACACCGTAAGGTACTTCGAACGGTTTAATCCTTCTCATTTCAACAAGCTCCATTAGTTGTTTTCGAAGTTCTTCTAATTCCGAAGGTGCCATACAGTAGGGTGCCATGGCTGGAGGTTTGGCACCGGGTTCCAACTCCATGCGATGATCGACTTCCCTCTTAGATGGAAGTTTCCTTGGCGATTCCGAGGTCATGACATTCTTATTTTCCTCAAGGACTTTTGTAATAGCAATCGGCAAAACATCATCATTAGGAGTTGTGTCTTCGGCCACAATCGACAATTGCATAATAAATGTCGACTCACTCTTCTTCCATCCTTTTGTTAATTGCATAGCCAAAAGTTGTCCTGCTTCCGTCCCCATGGAAATGGCAGGAACCATGCATGGTAAACCGTTCTCTAAAATGCACACAAAACTGAATGAAGGCATAGGAATTGAATTAAACTTCCTCAAGAAATCCAAGCCCAACACTAACTTGAAATCATCCATCCGTGCAACTGAAATATCAATGCGTCCATGCCCTTGCTGTCGCATTCACTGTCTTCAACAATCTATCCCCATGGTGAATGTTCAATCCCAACCTCCGTGCTTCATCCTTCGTGATGAAGTTGTGTGTGGCTCAGGTATCAACTAGCACTTGTGTTTGCCGTCCATTGATTTTGACAAGTACGAACAGCAATCCTTTTTCTCCGTTCTTCCCCAAAACGGTTTTGGCATTTAAGGAATTGAAAAGTTGCAATGAGACCATATGACTAGCACTAACATCTTTGCCATGGGAAGCCTCTTGTTGAGTCTCTGAGATAGATGCCAACGATCTAAGCTTAGGTCAATCTCGCATGAGATGTGACCCTTTGCAAACAAAGTAACTACGAGGAGCAAAATTACACATCTTCTTGTCATCATACTCCCTTTTCCAAGAAGTTTGTTTGTTGCCACCGAATCTAGGATAAACTTTGGGATTTGGCTTCCAATCCAACTTACTCCATTGCTTGTCTTTCCTCATATCACTCATGTCTTTACCAAAATTTTCTTTGGTTGGTTTGAAAGTCCTTGCTTACGTCTCCATACTCCTTTTGAACTTCGTCAAAGATTCGAGAACTGCAATCGCCTCATCTACGTTTTTTATATTGGGACGTTGTAATTCTTGTAGCACCTATTTGCACATCCATCCAAGAAATAGAATAGAAAGACATCCTCTAGCATACTTGCAATTTGAAACATAAGGATCGTGAACTCTTTGACATAGTCATGAACTGTCCCTTTATGTTTCAGTTCCCTTAGTTTCTTATGGGCCTTGTACACAACATTCTTCGGATAAAATTACCTTTTTAGCTCCTTTTTGAACTTGTCCCAAGTATCAATCTTACAAGCTCCATTTTCAACTTTGGCATGCTTGTGACGCCACCAAAGAGATGGGTGTCGAAAAGATACATAGTAGTTGTTTGGAGTTCCATAGCATCATTAACAAGATTTACGCCTTCAAAATATACTTCCATTTGCTATAGGATATTTTCCATGTCTTTGACATCCCGTCGACCATCATAATTTTTAGGCTTCGATTACTCAATCCTCAAGGCAATAACATTAGTAGCTGCACCTCTGCTTGTACCGTCTGTGGATTGCTTGTATTGCTCAAGCTCCTTGCTCATCCTTTCCATCATCACGGCCAATTGACTCACTTGCCCTTGTATGGTAGAAACGACATCTAAGACAAAGTTTGGAGATAGCCAAAATCTTCCATCACTGCGGTTTGTCGGGCTACTGTAGTCTGAACATCATCTTTCATCATTTGGAGAATATTTTCCAACGATGCTTGTGTGTCCATCATCTCTTGGACATTAGTTTGGAGAGTTTCTAACTTTCCAATGGCGTGGCTCTCCAATGCCTTAAAGAAGTTTTCAAGATATTCAACCCGATCATCCATATTTTGCAATGATTTGGTCAAGTTTACCCGCCATCATAGTTGCTTCTCGAATCTTACTTTTGCCTCGTGCTTTCTTTCCTTCAATTGGGACAGCACCACGTCCCATTTCCTCAATCTCAATATCAATAGTTTGTTGACAATCCACCATTATAATGACCTACAAAAGAGGCTCTGATACCACCGTTATGGACCTAGTTTCATTACACCGAAACAACTAGAATCGTGCAGTCTTAACATTTCACAATTTCCGTCCCTCAAGAGGAAAAAATTAAGTCAGGCTTTTAATGCTCAAAAATAATTTAACCAATAAAACTAAGTTATAACAACTTTTAGTAGAGGATTTGAAGTAAAAAATATAAGTAAAATAAGTAAGTTTGGAAGAATCCTCTTTGTATATAAATGAAATGAAAACTTTACAATCTCTCTCGAATATTTAACCCACTTCACTCCATATGTTTTACAAATGAGATTACCTTGCAAATTGTCTTTGAATCAATGAAAAGATTAAGTACCCGTTTGGCCTCCATTAATTTCTATTACATTACATTACATTACATTTTTTACTCTCCTATTTTCAACCACACAATCTTTTATAAAATAATATTATACGTAAATCGAAAATTTTTTCTTCCTTTTCAACTACTCATTTAAAAAAAAAATTTATTCCATCCATTTTTAACTCTACAAAATGGGGGCCAAACGGGGGCTAATTTTGATCCAATGGTCTTTATTAGTTGCAAGTTGCATTAGCCTCTTTTTATCAGTATTTCTCTACACCTTCATAAACAAGTGGCATGTCAATTTCCAACGTCATGCTAATTGACATTAAGTGACAAATCTCTACAATTCAAAGCAAGTGGACAAATCACTTTCATAATAGCTAAATTGAACTTTGCTTCCTTCTTTGCATTGTCTTGCAAGTGGGGCAAGTGGCACAAGTTGTCTACTTGTTTCTCCAAAACATCCGATCACAGTCCATTGTATTTCTCCTTCACAAAATAGTAATTGTTGACTTAAAAAACTCATTTCTGTGCTGGGAAAGCTATTTGCATCTCCCAACCTCCGTTTCGTCCAAACAAGCTGCTTGTGTCCTTAGCCTGAGTTTGTCTGGGGTCTACTGTCTGAGTCCACCTGTGTGCCTTATCGTAAGCAGGTCTGCCTCGTCGAAACATCTTGTCTGTGCGTGCTATCGAGAAGAATCGACTGCAACCTGATAGGCGTAAGTGGGCGCTAGTCAAATATCGAATTTTCCCAAAAAAGAAAAAAATAAAAATTTTGAGTATTTAAATATTGGTTTGGCTTTCATTATATCAAATTTTATTGTGTGGAATAGTATAATTTTGGTAATGGGTGATTCCAAAAAATAAAAAAAAAAAGATTATTTTTCGATTTGCATGTAATATTATTTTACGAAAGATTGTGCGGTTGAAGATAAGTAAGAAAAAATTAAAAAATAAAAATAAAAATTTAATTTATTGGGGCCACGCACCGTCGTCCGCCCACTACCGTCAGTTTTCATTCATCTTCCACAACCACAGCCCGCCGCCACCGTCACCGTCACCGTACAGACACACTCCCGCCTGTATAAACTCCTCAGTGCAAATACAACTACTACAAATGCTTTCTGACTCTTCATCTCACGTTTTCTCTGTAAAAAACCGCCTCCGCCACCCTAACTCCGCTGTCTTTTCTCGTTCATCATCTCTTCCTTTTCGAATTTCTCCTTCTGCTCTGAAATTTGGAGCAATTGATTTCAAAATGAGTTCTCCAAATTATACTCTCTCGTGTAATTGCAACAGTAACAGGAAGACTGACATTCCGACAGTAGACCTAGGGCTTGAACATTTGAACCTCGACCGCTTTGTTGACGTGGGAAACGAGCTCGCCGACGCTTCCGGTGACGTCATCCGCAAGTACTTCAGGAAATCCTTCGACATTCTTGATAAAGAAGATTTGAGTCAGTTATTTTTTATTGTAAATTTTGAAGTTCATGGATTTATTTGCTTGTTTTTCTTTAAGAATGTATAGGATGTGATGATAGAATTTTCAGTTATTTGGACGATTTAATTCGGTGTTAATAATTAAATTGAAATTAGGTCCTGTTACAATTGCTGATCAAGCGGCCGAGGAGTTAATGGTGAAGATTATAGAGAAGAATTTTCCTTCTCATGCAATGTGAGTTCTTTTGTTGCTGAGTGGGAATGCAGTGGAGATTTATTTCTTTTAATATTCCTTATGCTGTTAGGTTCTTATAAAATTTCTGGAAATTAAGAAAGTGGGAAGAAACGTTTTACTGCAATTGGTCTAGTTCAGGGATTTGATCTACGATTTTTTTGTACTGCTCATTTGGACGCTATGACAATGCTATAACGAGTCGAATAAGAAGTCCTTTTTTTTTCTTTTTTCCTTTTTTTTTTTTTATGAATCAACTTTTGTTTGTGAAAATTTTCATAGCACAAACTAGAAAATATCAACTTAAATTAAGCCAAAACACAGTGTGCAGCTGCTCTGCTGAAAGGTAACTGTCTTTTAAGCTTTGCTCTTATGATTATTAAGTACCATTCACAGTATATATATTTCTTAAGTAGCCAAAGATGCATGACTCGTATCACTTTTATAGAGCTTTTGCTCTCTTTTGATTTTTCTAAGTGCAAATTTCAGTTTTGGAGAAGAGAATGGATGGAGATGCAAGGAAAATGTTGCAGATTACGTTTGGGTTTTGGATCCAATAGATGGGACAAAAAGTTTTATTACTGGTATCTGCCTCTAAATTACCATAACATCAGTGTTCAACTTTGACGTTTAGCATAGTCAACTGATAGTTCTCAATTTTATTTTATTTTTTTACAGGCAAACCCGTGTTTGGAACACTAATTGCTCTACTACACAAGGGTAAACCGGTGAGAAGTCCCACCCACTTTCTATATCTGGGATCTTGAAAAAATTCATCTCTGCACAGAATATGCTTTTCTTGTTGCGTCTTAATTTCCAACTTGTGCAATAATGGATACATTTTATGTAAGGATCCCCTATTAATATAGTAAAAGTAGCCTATGAACTAATTCTGTGCTATTTACATTTAGTCAAGCCTCTCAAACATGATGCTTTTTCTATAGCTATATTTTCATTAAGTAATTACAGTAACAACTGTTAGAGACATTTCAGTATAATATTTTAGTTATGGTAATTTAAAACTACTAACAAGTATAGAATATTTAAGATTATGCATATAATACTCAGCCTCTTTATCTTAACTTGTTAGTCATTTTCTCCTTCTTGGCTTGATGTTCTTTTGTTCTTAAATTTCAATAGAGTTTATTATGGTTTTTGAAGATTGAAAAATCTGTTGATCTGTTATAATGTTTTTCATACTTGATTTTGATCTTTCTGAATAGTAATACCTCACTTCTTTGTTCTATTGAATATAATACATTTGAATACGTTATTCACATTGTTTTCAGTCTTTTGTGTTTCCATTTTATTTTATTTTATTTTATTTTTTATTTATTTTTTTATCTTGAAGAATATCTGAAAAATTCCAATGAACTGCTACACATTTAACTAATACATATAACTTATAGTAAACATTATGACCATCTCTGGCAGCATGCAGTTATGCTTTTCTTGTGTTGATTTTGCTATATAATGTTATAGTTTCATATAAATTCAAGTTCTTTTATTTTTTTTATATGTAGATTCTTGGCATTATTAACCAACCTGTTCTGAGAGAGAGATGGATTGGAACAATTGGGAGGCGAACTACTTTGAATGGACAAGAAATCTCCACGCGCAGTTGTCCACAACTTTCCAAAGCTTATCTGTATGTTATTCCTTTTCTATTGCAAGATATGTTGTGCTGTAAAGCAAGATGGTTATAACAATATAGTGCAAGATGTGGGACATGTTCTCTTGGTTTTTTCATTTATAATCCCTGTGACTCCATTTCTCTGTACAGCATGTGCAGATCTTAGTCTGCTCTCTGTTTTAGGTGCACTAACAGTCTGGCTTTACTTGATGACATGCTATCCTTTTTCATATTTTTCATTTTCTCGTGTTTAAGGTACACTACTAGTCCACATCTATTTTCTGGAGATGCTGAGCTGGCCTTCGCTCGAGTAAGAAATAAGGTTTGTCCTTTTATGTCTAACAGTGATCAGATGTATTCAGCCATCCGGCTTATCTTGGTTTTTGTATCAGTTATCTCTAAAAGTTATTCATGATGTATAAGACACGCACGCAAACACTTTCGTATATACAAAGTATGATAACAAAACCAGTAACGTACTGATTAGTACCCTTGCCCTGAATACAGCACAGTATTAGGTTTCAAATCATCTCTTTGCCTTTGATTTCTACGTCAAAAAACTTTGGTTGATGTCCTCTTTTGTCGAGTTTTTTTCCTTTTATGCAGATCAAAAGCTTTGTTGTGTTTATGTTATGTTGTAATGATGAAGTACGTTAAGAGGTTCACTTCTGTTTGACAGGTCAAAGTGCCTCTATATGGCTGTGATTGTTATGCATATGCTCTATTGGCATCGGGCTTTGTGGATCTTGTGATTGAGTCCGGTCTCAAGGTGAGCTGTACTCTTTTTATTCATGTGTTCTGAGATATTCATTTTTTCCCTTCACCGTGTTTTCTTGTTGGAATTTAGCCTGGTAGAGACTCGCAAAAGCTATAATTCAATCGACTTTGGAATAAGCAGTTGATTTTCTGTTTTGTGGTTATGACTTATATAGATAATGAGAAAAAATGTTTAACCGTTGCCTTTTCATCTTGTCATGTGAAAAAATTGAAAAAGCTAATGGCTCTCACAAGTTGTCAGATATCTTGCATTAATGAATTTGCAACTACTTAATTGTCAGCCATACGATTTCCTTTCCCTGATACCAGTAATTGAAGGCGCGGGCGGAGTCATAACTGATTGGAAAGGACATCAACTTCATTGGGAAGCTTCATCAAATTCCAATGTGACAAGTACGAGTTTCTGACTTGAGCTACTCTTCATTATCCCTGTCTACTTGAAACTTCATCGAGGTTATAATTTAGCCAAATTGTCATTTAACACAACCGTGACAAGAAAATGTTGTGTTTCCAGGTTTTAATGTAGTGGCAGCAGGGGACAAAAGGGTTTATCAAGAAGCTCTAGATACGTTACAGTGGTAGTGAGTTCGTCAGAAAGTTGCGGGTTTAGGTTTCATCTTGCCGACTGGCTGCTGGGTTACTTCCAAGATAACGACCGCAATAAGGACTAAACCCTTCCCGAACAATGGGAACTCGTAGTCCAGATAAAAACAGCTATTTATTATGCATCGAACATTCATTCAAATGAATGTATATCTGTAACTCAATCATATTTGCTGTTACGGTCATTATTGGATTTGGATTCGAGCACAAGTATCCTCATCTTTTTTGTATTGTTATTACCCAAGTTAAAATCAAGAGTGGTACCTACCGATATCGGTGTTGCATGGCTGTGTAGGCTTGTCATTTGTGTAAAATGTTTTATTACTCACTCAACTTAAACTTGGTCACAGTTTATTAATTAAACTAAGAAGTGCTTCCCAAGTGGTTACTCGTCTTTAAGGCGTTGCATTACGATAGGGGGTTCATGGCTAAGTAGAAAGATGCGTGAGTAATGGTGAATTTGGAATGTAGTAATTGTGTCTACAATGATGTTCAGAAGGTATCAAGGGACATTTTCAGATATACAACTCAAAGGGGCAGGCAAAATATGCCTAATCAATTAGAATGGAAAAATGTTGTCCTTGTTACAAACATATAATTCATGGGGGATCTCAAAAGATATGAAAAGTGCTTCCACAGCATAACAATGTGTGGTCATTGAAAAGCAGTTTGATGAGTAAATCGTGACCACAAGTTTGGTGAATAATGAGACGTATGGTGTGGCCGAGTTATAAATTTTTTAATGGTCGTAACATGCAACATGAGTTTTTCATCTATCACGTAAACCACGAGAGAAATGGAATTTGTAGATGATGAATGAAGTGCAACGTCTCAAAAATAAGTGACCATCGAGAAGTATTTTGAAGTTTAATAAATAAATATTGACCAAGTATAAGTTGGGTAATTAATTAATTTTATTTTTAATTTCTTGATGACTCAGGTATTCGAACGTACCATGAATTTGTCTCCACAGGACATCTACCTATAGTACTAATATGCCTCACTTGATTTTGTGACGGTGACGTAGGTATTAATTTTTTCTATAATCAAGTTTTATTATATATCCTTGTGTGGCGTATCACAATTTAATCTTGTATGTATATATTTTGGCTTATGTCTAGCATATTTATCTTTGTTGTAAAATGATTTGTCTTTGTCCTAGAGAGATCATGAATGTAAGAAAAATTATTTATGAAAAATCCACTCAAAAGTCTATGTACCAGTTTGTATGTATCTCATAATAAATTTGTGGTTTATTTGTCTGCCTTGAGCGATTGATTCGATTTATCTAGTAATTTTGAAATTTGAACTAGGATTGAACAACAAAATCGTCAAATCGCAAAATCGAACCGAAACCGTTAGTTTGGTTCCATGTGGATCCGTCAACGTTTTAATTTTGAACCGAATCAAACCGCTTCGAAGTGATTTGGTTTAGGTTTCAATCTTTGCAAACCGTTTCAAATCGTCAAACTGTTCACCAAAAAAATCTAAAAATAAATTAGTCTAAATTTTATTTAACTCAATTAAAATTTAACACGTTTAAATTAAAAAGATACATCTATATCAGACATAATTCAAATAAACTCAAATCGACAATTATACATCTCAATTAATTAATTAATCATATCCAAATATTCATGAGTCGTCACAACTATAAATGTAAAGCCCTTAAATTGGGTAAAGTATTGAACAATTTATGCTAAACCGCATTCATCAATTCTTCATTACAATTGTGCAGACAATAAAATCTAAATTTTAATTCAAACGTGCACATTTCATTTCCTTCTAATAATTTTCTCAAATTTTGCTCAAGTTCAAATCAGATTACCATTTTTTTTTGGTAATTATTTTTATATTTTTATTTGTAGTTATATTGTTTTGTTATAATAATTGTCAGTTTGTCGATTTCCCTTAAAGTAATTCACCAATATTTAGATTTAGTAGAAGTTTTGAATTATTCATAAAAAGTCATGATAGCTAGGTACTATTGTATTTGAATTTTTTTATTCATTTTCTTTTATTAATTATTTTATATCATTTAACTATAATCAATGAATTTATATACTATATTTTTATATTTATGAAGAAAATGAATCATATATTACACTTGCAGATGGACGACATTAGTATCGACTAAGAGTTTAAAATATTTATATCATGTTGTTGCATTATAATGATTATAATTATATAACTTTAATTTGTAACTTTTTTAATAATACAATTTATGTTTTAACATGAAATTTTAGACTAATATTTATGATTTAAGTTATTTGATATATATTAATTTTTTTGTTAAGCCGTCGTTTTAATCTGAACCAAACCTAAAAAAATGGTTTAAATTGGTTTGATTTAGAAATCAAAGTAGTTTGATTTGGTTTGGTTTGAAAAAATTTTAAACTCTTTTAAATGGTTTGGTTTGAAAATTTGATTCAAACCACCCAAATCGAACAGTGTTCACTCCTAATTTGAACCGTAAAATCTAAAGACAACTTTCTCCAATAGTTACCAATAAATGGGTCATTCATCCTATGCCTAGGCTATATTGGTTGGTTCAGTGGTTCCAAGTTAGCCAATATAAGCCCCTATTTCGTCTCTATTTTAAAAAAAAAATTTCAAATTTTTTTTTATCCTTCTTAAAAAAATGATTTTGTATGTGAACCAATATAAATATATTTTTAATTTTTTTAACATCGTGACCATAACTTCTCACAAAAGTTATTTTCAAAAAATTTCTATCAAATAGGGCTAAATTTCATATGCAATATTATAGCAGCAAGCCAAGCCAATTTCATACTCAATATCCCACTTTCACCATTAATATTATTTTATTTTACTGTATAAAAAGGAAAATTACAATCAAGGTATCAAATCTTTCGCTTATTAGCAGATTTTGTCCAAACCTTTCATTTGTGCTAACGTGAGCACCATACATTTAAAAAATTTGCAGCTCAAGTCCAAATTGACTGTTTCTGTTAGTTTGATCTTAAGAAAGATGCACTGCACTTTGTGCAAAAATGTGACAAATGCCAATGTTTTTCTGCCATTCAAGGCAGCCTCACAAAAACTCATAGTAGTGTCCAACATTTGGTCTTTCGCCAAATGGGGAATTGATCTTATAGGCTCCCTACCTAAGGAGAGAGGCTATGCCAATCATGCAATCGTCGTCATTGATTATTTCATTAAATGGGTCGAAGGTGAATGATTGGCTAAAATCACTGAGGCCAACACCTCTAAATTCATCTGGAAAAATACCTGTCGGTTCGAAATTCTTCATTGATCGTATCAGATAATAGGAGATAATTTAACAACAAAAAGGTCAAGGACCTATGTTATGAGTTGGGTATCAAAAAGCATTTCTCAACGCCTCATCATCCCTAGGCAAACGGGCAAAGTGGAAGGTGTCAACAAGCCTATCAAGTATATTATTAAAATGAAGCTCGACGCTTCGAAAGGATCCTGGGTTGACAAGCTTCCCTGAATGTTATGGGCTATTTGAACATCCAATCAAACTACCATTGGATGGCCTATGGAGCCCAAGCAATGAGCTCGATAGATGTAGGTTTGTTTTCTTCTTGCCGCTTACGCTTTAGTGAATCAAATGATGTGCTAAGGCGGTGTGAGCTTGACTTCATTGAAGAACAGAGATAGGACTCACAAGTTAAACTCATCTCTTATCAAAGAAAATGACCCACTACTATAATGCTAAAGTGAAAAAAGAGACCATTCAGAAGGAGAGATCTGGTGCTGAAAAAGGTTCTTATCTCTTCAAAGGAACCAAATGTGGGGACCTTAAGCCCCAACTGGGAAGGCCCCTATTGCATTTTGGAAGAATTATGCTCTGTAACTTATAGAATTGAAAACCTGGATGGAAAGGCATTGCCTCATCTATGGAATATTGAACACTTGAGAGTGTACTATCATTGAAAACCAGTGAACCTCATTATGGTGTAACATAAATCAATTGGTATATACCAAGGTTAAAGGGCTCGAGTAGTTAAAACTGCAATGTAGGGCGATACCTTTTGTTGACCTCTCCGCATTGGGTAAAGGCCTTCGATCGAATTCATAATAGGCTCAACTAAATATACACCTAGCTATAAAATGGCATTGAAATAAGTCATTCTCTAATTATTAATTTTTGGCAAATTTGTATTCACCCGAGTTCACATTATTTAGTTCAAGTTAAAGTGGACTTGAGAGGTGCACTTCTTTCTTCAATTTCTCATTTTCAGGATTGAGGAATGCTACCTTTGACTTATCCTCGACGTTCTTTAAGTTAGCTTCTTTGATCACTCCATTCACTTTGAATGCTTCAACTAGCAGCTTCTTTACCTACAAATCAGCCACATCAACCCTCTTTAAATTTTCTTGGTTGGAGGTTTGCAGACGCCTCAGCTTTATTTGGGAGTAAAAACAATCCCATAGAGCGAGCTTGGAGAGCAAGACCCGCCTCCTTCATGTTCACGGAATTGCAAGTCTCCATCATGTCCAACTCTTCCATGTGAACTTCCAAGAAACTCCGAGATTTCTCCTAGATAGCAACTTCTCCAATTGGTTCTTTGTCTCTTCACCTTTTTACCAAGCCCTCTTCGCCCTCCTCAACCTCCTCTGGTTCAACAATTTTTATATCCAAAATTAGCTCAACAGTCAATGACCTGTTCTTAGACTCCATTATTTTTAGCGGCCTCTTCAGAGGAGGAGGCGAACCACTACTCTTGGAGACAGTTAGCTGCCTCTTAGTAGTTTCTCCTCACGAGCGTCCTCATCCCTCCCATTCTTCTTATCTTTTGCCTTAGCGGCAATGTTCTCCTTGACTTTTCTTTGGAGATGCGAGTCAGCTCATCTCTCTTAGCTTTATAGGCTATGTCAGGCTTGGCATACTCATTCTTTTCGTATTATTTTGCAAGTAAATCAGACACGTTAACACTTGGGAACAAATTAATCATGGTAATACCGAAGTCAAAGGGAAAAGGCTATACCTTTCAAGGTCATTAGTTGATACTTGACAGTGAGGAGCCAGTTGGAAATTATGTAAACGTATCGCCTCTGCTCAATGGAAAGGTCGTAGATGGCTCTGACCACTTTCCACTTCTCTCGTTCAAGCTCTAATTGATTAACTGCAGCTACACAAGATGAAGTTAGTAAAAGAAAACCTAATGCAAAAGAAACATATAAAACAAATACATGTGTAATTCAAAACTCACTATATTCATGATACTAAGTTGGGGCGGTGATCTCTGGTACCGCATCACCCTCTACTGTTTACTATTATTCCCTAATCTAG